CTCCCCCCCCCCAGCGTCTTCACGGGTGGTGCGCACAGAGGCAACTTTGACTTTAACTCTAAGCTTAACGTTTGTTTAATGCTGTCTTTACTGCAGCAAATGAGATTCCATGAGATCCACATCATGCAGACTACCGGTGTGTTTCTCTACTACAAAACAAACTCCGTGACTTTAATCCGCAAGCGAACTATACCGACCGAACGACCGCTTGTCGGAGAAGTTAGTGCCAACTTTAGCGGATATAGCGTGTAGCGTGGTCAGTGCAACGAATCCCCACGGCCGTTAATTTGTGTTTCACCACTACACTTGAATTATACTCATGGCGTTACGAGGTTTGAGGTTCTCACGGAAGTGGCTATAAAGAACGGTACTCTCCTCTGGGTTGTCACGTCGTGTAACCTGGTAATAATTTGCCGAGTTATCTGAGAAACGTAGAGCCTCCATCTTAAAGGCCGAAGAGCAAGAAGCAAACTTGCAGCAATACGCCCCTCCCAAACATCGGCGAACTTCAGCCAGACTACAAGGCTTCATTTCTCAGAAAATAGGACTGTAGAGAGTGAATTGTTACTGATAACTTCTGCATAGGCATACCTATACTTTTACACTCTTAAGAAGTGAACTGTCCACACCGCAGATCCCTTTTGCCCATTTGCCAGTTATTTTATTGAAATTTAGTTAACATTTCAGAATTACATGTAAATTATTCTAAACCATACATTTATCGATCTGCATTTCTGTAGTCTTGGAAGCCTAAACATTTTAAATCGTATTGGTCTTCGCGTAGAGACTAGGAGACAGTAGGGCTCTCCGAAACGTCAGACTACATCTGCACTGTGCCGTTACTTAGAAATGGGAGCCACATTAGAGCTGGGCTGTGAAAGGCTGAAATATTCTATAAAATCATACCATTTGACCTACCGGGCTACAGATCCATTTGGTGCCGAATGAGAGAGAGCCCTCAGCATTCCTGTTCACAGGGTGACTCAGTCGCTGGCTAGCAAGACGTATTTAGAACAAGTGCAAGCGATCGTGCCTGCAGCTAGAGTCTGCGCGCGTCCCAAATGGGTAACAACACACTTCAGTAAGGTCAAAATTTTGTGACGACGGTACATTAATACAAACATTAGGTTTCTGGGACATTATGCATCGTCCTGTCTTTATCTAAAACACAACGTCTCCGTCTTCATGCAAGCTCTACCGATTGGGTTCAACTGTGTCGGTTTTACCTGAAGACGGAGACAGAATCCAGTCTCTGAAAACTTGTGTCTTATATAAAAACAGGACGATTAATAATGTTCAGAAGCACAATACTTCAGAAAGCATGGGTGCCACTGCGCAGTGCCCACGAAATAAGCTGTTTCTTTGTAGTTTACTGAACTCAAATGAAGGGTACGTAACACACATAGAATTGAAGACGAATGCATACAGGATTTTGGTGGGAAAGCAAGAAGGAAAGAGACCACTAGTGAGACCTAGACGTAGGTGGAAGGATACTACTAAAATGAATCTTCGAAAAATCGGATGGAATGTTTTGGAGTGGATTCATCCGGTTCAGGATAGGTACCAATTGCAAGCTCCTGTGAACATGGAAATGTCTCCTCAGATTCCATGAAATTTTGGGGCATTCTTGAGCAGCTGGACGACTACAGACTTCTCAATAAAATCTCGGCTCCATGGACTTGGTTAGTTCTTAACTCAAATTATGCAGAATGTTCTAAGACATGTCTGCCATATTTCGGGAGATGATTCTGGAGGAAATCCTTTGTCCTATTTCAGAACCTTAAAGAGCTACGTTTATTTGAAGATGTGTAGAAAAAACCAAGGCCTACTTCTGTGAAATTAGCCTGTGACAACACTACTGATTTCGGTCGCATTTTAGTCACAAACGACTGTTAGCATACCAAGAGTCAAACATGAAATTGCGTTGCGGTAAGTTCGAAGTCGAATTGTCTTCGCGCGTGATTTCACAAAATGAAGCCTCGGTTGGCTGTCACTGAATTCACCGACGTCCCTCATGGATTCTGCGATGGTAACAGCCGCATCAGGAACACGAACCAAAGATTGTGCGAATAGAGACAGTGGCGCCACGTGACCAGGAACTTGCTGCTCGACAGCCGTTGCTGTGGAGGAGCGTTGCCGCTGCCGCTGCCTTGCTGAGTTCCCACAGGAACCAACAGGAGAGTCAAGTCATACAAGGCCCGCGCCAATGCTCTGAAAGTGGGTGTAGTTAAGAAGCGCACATTCAAACGTTATCAGAAAGAATTTGCTCCTTTCTTTTAGCATGCGTCAAAAACCGTTAACGTGCATTTATTTCCGTTTATAAATTTACCACATAGACTGTGGGTATTTGTGAACAGGGAGCTGGGGAGAATATTTGGGCCGAAGGGAGGTCAGAGAGAACTGTACAGTGCCGAGCTTCATAACTTGTATTTTCACCAAACATAATTAGAATGATTAAGTCAAGGAGAGTGAGATGGACAGGGCATGTAGGACGTATGGGGAGAGTAGAAATGAGTATAGGATTTTGGTGGAAAAGCCAGAAGGAAAGAAACGACTAAGAAGACCTAGACATACGTGGGTCAATAATATTAAAATAGACCTCAGAGAAATAGGATGGAGTAGCATGAACTGGATTGATCTGGCTCAGGATAGGGACCAGTGGCGGGCTCTTGTGAACACGGTAACGAACCTTCGGGTTGCATAAAATATTATGAAATTCTTGAGTAACTGCATAACTGGCGGCTTCTCAAGAAGCACTCACCTCCATGGAATTAGAAACTTCGTTGGTTAGTTAGTTAGTTAGTTAGTTAGTTAGTTAGTTACTAATTTACCTCGACGTCTCTGTTTGCTCCTAACTCGACGCTTGCGCAAGAAGGATTTCTCGGTCCTTAATTGTGACGTAAATTTTTCCTTGAAGGTGATAATGAAAGTCGTGTCCATGTCAGTTGCTACATGAATTTGAAATTGCGTGATTGTAAGTGCTTATCCGATTCGGAAAGTATCAGACGGCAGAAATGCCATTGACGAGTCAGCTCTCTATCAGTTTCACACCCCAGACATTCGCTACGTCTATTGCTCTGGTTTTCAGCTATTTTATGATTGCGAATCAACTGCTTAAGATAACGAATGGCGCAAGTACTGTGGATAATGAAGCAGCTTGGCTCAAGCTGTAGTGTTCAGTTGCAGGAAAGGGAGCGAGATGGAGGCCCTTAGTACTGAGCTTCTGAATAAGAGACAAATACAGAACGTTGGCGGAATGTTAGTAACTGGCTGGGGAAAATCGATATATTCGGAGAGAAACTGTCCCAATGCGGCTCTGCCCATCTGAAAGGTGAATGGGCTCGCAGCTTTTTCGAGGTTTCCGTATACATCTGCAGTTTATGCTAGGATAGTAACTCTAACCAGACCACGAACACTAATTCCAGTTCACAACCCACAGCCGTCTTATAACTGGACGCCGTATAACCTATACAGTCGAAATGCATCGTTATATGACTGACTGACTAACTAACTAACTCTATTCAACTGAGTCCTTCTTGAGAAGCCGCAAATTGCTCAGGAACTCATGAAATTCCTAACATTTTATTGGAACTAAAGGTTCATTATCGTGTTCACAAGAGCCCGCCACTGGTCCCTATCCTAAGCCAGATATCATACCACCCTCTCCTATTTCTCTAAGACTGGTTTTAATATCATCCTGCCACCTACGTCTAGATCTTCCTAATGGTCTCTTTCCTTCTGGCTTTCCCACAAAAACCTTGCGTGCATATATTTTATCAAACGTTCTATATGCCCTGCTCAGCTCATCATCCATAACTTGATCATTCTGATTATACCTGGTAAAGGGTGCAAGTTATGAAGCTCCTCATTATGCAGTTTTCTCCAACCTCCTGTCACATCCAAATATTCTCCTCAGCACTTTGTTCTCTAACTAAAGGTAATTTATAGATCTGTATATTTTCAGGTTTTTAGACAGTTGACGAGAGGGATAAAATTCTGAACTGAATGGTAGGAAGTATTACCCGAATTCATTCTGCTCCCAATTTCCTCATTAATCGAATTCTGATTTTATAGTGCATTTCGCACATTGCGTAATTAATCAATTTTGAGATATTTCGTGGTTTACTCAGTCTCTTATATAAAATGGATGATATCGCCTTGATGTCCCTGTAAACTGTTACTTTTTCGACTCTAGATGTATTTGCAATTCACAGGCCTCATAAAAGAACTTAAGCACGAAGATTTTGACCTTCTGGGATGAGATCCCGCAACACACGAGCCAGTTCTGGGTGCTACAGTTGGTAGCAGTGCAATCTGTCTGGCATGCTGTGAGATATGTTTAAAAATACACGACCCATATCTTAACTGTTCTTGGGCTGCTGCTGCTGCAAGTGGAGAACCCTCTCCGTGTTTACAGAATTATAAGGCCAGTGGACTAACCAATCCCTTCCTAGTGTGCAAATTCTGAAAGGGGGAGCAACCTGCCACCTTAACCCAGATGTTTCACAATTATCAGTGCCGTGCAAGTTGCAAAATGATCAAGCGTTACAAGATTCGTTCAACAGTGGCGTGCTGATACTTGTAAAAACTCCTTGATACCGACCGAGCGACCGCCGCTTGTCGGCGAAGTTTAGTGCAAACTTTTGAGGATAGAGGGTGTCGCGTGGTCAGCGCAACGAATCCCCACGCCCGTTAATTTCG